AAAAAATCCTTTTTTCACTGGTAACTGTTTGTAGTATTGAAGAAAAAGTCCTAGAATTTGAGTCAAAGGCCCTGAATTCTAGTTCTTACTCTTCTTGTAAGAAGATACATGACCCTGGGGAGACCACCTCCCAGAGCCTCAGTTTCCTCCTCAGTACAATGAGAAAATAGGAGTTGGATGAACTCTGGGACACCTTCCAGGAACCAAGTCATGAAATGAAATTGCATGTGGGGAAAGCAGGCTGAGAGAATGAAGGGGGCACGAATGCAAGGCCCTGTGATGCTTCAGTTATGCGGCATCCTTGGGGAATGGGCTGTTCCACATGAAGAGTTTTCCAGATAATTGAATTTTAAATGCTGAGACTTGTTTTCCTTTTAACCTTCTGTAATGGAAATCTTTCTGAAGCGTATTACATGCTTCTCTGGCTTCTTGAACGGCAAGCTGGGTGTGATTTGACCTTCCCTGAATCTCTAGGCCATCACAGTGACCGCCTCTTACTATATATACAGCCCTTAATAGAGTGCCAGGTGCCTTGGGCATATTCAGGTAGGCAGAACCCTCATGCTGGAATGGCCCCAGAGACTATATTATAAAGCTATAATTGGCAATTCTTTCTTTCTGTTATCTCCTATATCTCTACCTGCAGTCATTTCTCCAAGTAACACCTTCTAGCAGCCTCTTGACACTCTGCTTAAAATCTGCTATAACCTAGAGAGAACTCAAGGTTGCCATGGGTAACCAGAGTCTGAGCTTGTAACAACCCTAAATTTAATTTTACACACAATTTAAAGGCAATGGGTACTGTGCTGAAGGTTACTTCCGACCAGAGCTGATACGCAGCGGTCGGCCTGGTCTGTAATGCAATGCCCCTGTACCCGCTGGCCAGTCGCCCTGCACTCCCCGGGGTCCTCTTGCCAGTTCAGCACTCTGGCCCCTCTCCTGGGACCGCATGGACTTCTCACATGCTAGTAACTCAAAGGTGCAGTCTGGCCCTGGGGGCTCCAGGACCCCATTCCTGCATGCACTGGCATCCTTTCCAGCTGGCTGGTCCCCGTGCCATACCAGTTGCTCAGTATTTGAATTATCACCCCACTTTCTGGGCTGAGAATTATTCTCTTGTTTGCTGATCTACCATGTGCCAGATACCTATTCAACATTCAATAAACCATCTTATCTCATTCACTAAATGACCCTATTGGGGAACAGCATCAACCCTCCGTGGCCAAGGTTACCTGCCCACTGTCACACAGTCAGCAATCAGGTCTGGAAGCCAGATCCATTTCTCCAAGGTCTATGTTCTTTGCACTATGCTCTGCTCATGTTTATTAATGTACAAAAAAGTCCAGTGGAGGCTTACATCCTGAAAAATACATTTTAAGTGAAACATGAGCCCTTTCACTTTACAGAAAAGGCTACTTGTTTTTGTTTTGGTGTGTGGGTTGTGTCTTAATTAATTCCACATTTTGTTACCAATTTGGAACAATCTGTCCTCAGGGAACAGATCTGGTTTACTTATAGAAAGCTAGCTGAGGGAGGGAGAGACTGGGGTTACAAAGCATCCCTTGTACGAATTAATCTTAAAAACCATCCAAGTTCTCCCTGCACCTTAGAGAAGTAAATAGAACATGCCAGAAAAACCTCACCTTCCCCAGAGTAGGGATGATACAGCTCGCAAACAAAAACCTTCCTCCGTGTGCTACCAGCTCTGCCTTCAAGCATGACCAATATCCTTCCCCATCCCAGAATGTTCTCTAGAAGTTCACTTGTGTATGATGCTGTTACCACTCAAAAGAATGATGGGTTCACAGAGCTAGTGGGGGAGCTGAGACACAAACTGAAGACCTCAGGGTGATTAGCCAGTGAGAAAGCAGAATGGGGTCTGAAATTCTGGGACAGTCCCTGGGTTGGCTTCAGAGCTGCTTCTGGGGTGCAAATGGCATCACATCCATAGTTACGAATTCTGTTTCCCCAGGGGTAAACCTTCTGTACTGACCCTAAGCTAATTTTTAAAATAAGCAAACCACGACATCTTGGTCCATATTTTGTAACTGCTCCTCCCACATTTCACACACACGTGGTTTTCAGACTGTTCTCTTCCAAAAACATCCACAGTACACTAACATTTTCAAAGTAACACTTGTCAGGGAGGAAATCACCTGGGTAACTGACTAGCCAGTGTGATGGGGTCAAAAGAACCTGTGTATTAGTTTCCTTCGTAAAGTACCCTAGGCCAAGTGGCTTAAGCAGTAGAATTTTATCTTATAATTCTGGAGGCTAAAAGTCTGGATGGAGGTGTTGGCAGAGCCATGCGTCCTCTGAGGCATTAGAGAAGGGTCTGATGCAGGCCTCCCTCCTAGCTTCTGGGAGTTCTTCGGCTTGTGGCAAGTAACTCCAGTCTTCACATGGCAGTCTCTCTGTGTCAGATTTTCTTTTTTTATAAGGACGCTAGTCATACTGATTAGGAGCCCACCCTACTCCCACAGGACCTCAGTCTAACTAATCAATCTATAATAGCCCTATTTCCAAATAAGGCTACATTCTGAGGCACTGGGGGTTAGGACTTCAACATATAAATTTGGAAAGGGGAGCACAGTTCAAACTATAACATCATCTAAGTCAGTTTTGAATTAAAAATGAAACTCAAGAGAAGGAGCAGAATGGATTACCCAAGAGTGCATCATGTTTTAATTCCAAGTGATATAGTAAGGATGATTTATCATGTTGGTGGGATAGGTGGGAAGTTGTGTTGACCACCTGAAATCTGTTGCTTACAAGTACAGGTGAATATGTGATCATCAAGGCAGAGAGGTACACTGGGGTTTCTGCAGAACCCTAATTCCTACTCACTGCTTCTTAGACAAACCTACTTAGATACGTGGGAAAATTTAGTGTTGAAGGAAAACTGTTAGTCAGTTACAAGACTGAAAGGGAACATCTTGAGAACATTCAAAACACTTTGAACCCTTGACATTTAATTTAAAAATGCTTCTAGTACTAAGTGCACTCTGGCTACATGTAAGTTTGCCGAAGGGATTCTGTATTAAAATTGGGTTTCCTTTGATAAGATAAGGAAGGGGTTTCTGTTTTCCTTGTCAGATTGGGTAGATGGAAGGCTTATAATTTGTTCTAGTCACTTTCTACCCTGGTGTCTATGATTGTACTGAGGAAGTATTTTGTGAAGCTGTAAACCATCCACGAAAAAGACAAGAACCAACATACAGCTCTGGGGGAGACTGGAGGTGGGAAAGCCCAGGGATGAGGAGCGCCACTGTGGTGGCAGATAGACCCAAGTTCAGATCTGGTTCTGCCTCTTACCTGGGTGGCCTTGGGCAGGTTGCACCGTCTCCTTGTGGCCAAGGTTCCTCTCTGAAGCTGTCCTTTATAGAGCTTTGGTAGATGTGAGATGAGAGTGGATGGCAGAGTGCCCACTATGGTTTCAACTGCTTAAGAAATGGTATTTCTTGTAATTATTCCGGAGAACTAGGGAGTGAACCTTGAAGAACCGAGCTAGTCTCCTTCTCCTCTGTCTTGTTAATGTCTTGGTATGAGCAATGGGAACCCAGGACTCCAGAAGTCCTTTCCTCATTTTTTGATTCACTTTCATACTCTCTTGAAGGCCAAGCAGTGGGTCTTGGCCTTCTCCTCTTCTCGCCCTTACATCTCGGTGCTTCCAGGTAGACCCTACTTCACCAGGCCCTTCACCACTCAACGCATATTCATGGCTGTGCTCAGAGAAGGGAATTTCAGAGTCATGACTGTTCATTAATAAAAAAAGTTACGTTTGGAAGGATTACTTCCTCAGTTGTGGGAAATGTCCAGAAGCTGAGTGCATTGACTGTATTTCCTTATTTTCTGTATTCTTGAGGCTCTGGCATTTGAGACCTTGATCCTAGAGAGACTGCCCCTCCCAGGGGTATTTACTTCCTAGGAATTGCAGTGATTCCCCTGAGACTGCACTTTTGATATATAAACGAACCAATCCAGAGCCCACACCTCCAACTATGTCCTTTATCAAATGCTCACTCATCAAGTTAATACTCCCCGTCTAAATTACCCTGTGTCAGGTAATAGACCCTTAGAGCTCAGCGCCTGAGGAAATTATTCAAACCACCCAATACTAAGATTACTCAGCATACCTACTGCGTCTCACCCAAATCTGCCCTTGGAAACCCCGATGAAGGCTTTGGGTCATTCTCTCTGCTCCCCTCCCCCTCCTGATCTATGCTAGTGTTTCTTCACGTGGCCCTGCAGAGCGTGATGTCCTCTGTCTTGGGTTTCTAGGGATCTGTGAGCGTAGACATCTTCCTTCATGACAGTCATTTCCCTGCGTACATGTCTTAATAACACTTGACTAAAACAAACCCCAGGTACATATTACAACACCCAGGTATAACAATTAGCAGTCCCATAAGCCTTGTCCTTGACCTTTTCTCCTATTTCCATCCCCCAAACTCCTCAGCTTCATCTATTTCACTCCAGATGCCAAACAACCACACCCACCCAAATATCTGTTCCTGACCACACAGACGTGGAGTGGTGCCCTGGGTCCAGGACCCGGCTGGGAGTCAGAAGATGGAGACTGAGTTTCAGCTCTCAAGGAGCTTCGGAACTATGAATCTGTGACTAAGGTGACATGGGACAAGCAAATGGAAGCACATTCAGGACCCAGCTCTAGGGGCTCCAGTTGAGGTGAGGAGCTGTGCTGCGTGGAGGAGAGGGTCTAACTCAATGTGACATCTCTCATACTCTTGTGTCATGTACTAATTCATTTTCTTTTCACCCCAAATTTCAGGGAAAAAGGAACTACTCTGAGTCTTCTAAAAGAGTGAATAGAAAAAGAAAAAATATGAACACCACAAAACTTCAACCTAGTGTATTTTCCCTTTATGTGATAAATGCCATTGTCTTTGTTCCACATTAGAACTCCTAACACTCTGTAGGTGCGGATCCAAGCATCAGACATAAGTGAACTGCAGGGACCCCATGTCCAGCCCACTCACCTGGCCCCGTTGACATCAACTCCAACCATCAGCTGCCCATTCAGGGAGAGGATCTCATCCCGCAGTCGGACCTTCCCGCTCTTCCCTGCCGGGCTGTTCTTCCTCAGCTCCGTCACCCAGATGCAGCCCACGTCCAGCACAGGGCCCTGGTGGGTTTTCCTCTTCTTGCCCCCTCTGCGCTTTTCTCCATAGTCCCCAAAAACGGGGATGTTTCCAAAACTGAGGCCCACAGTCTCTGTGTCCCCCAGCTCCTTGGTGAGGTACACAGTACAGATCTCCATCTCCGGGGGGCTGTGGTCAGGTGGGACTGTGCTCTCATCCACAGCAAAGTTCAGCTGGATGTACTCCTGCAGCTTCCGGATGGCCGCCTGGCAGAGCCGCTGCTCTGGCCCGTCCCCACCCTCCCGCAGGCTGTTCTGCAGCCACTGGCAGAGGAGGGGCAGGTGCAGCATGGCATTGTCCTGGGTGATGGGCATGGTGCTCACTCCCAGAGAGCAGCATCATGGGACAGGCTGCTCCTGGGAGCTGGACCCCAAGGGGCCCCATGGGCCATGGGACCCCTGGCTGCCACTGGCACCATCTGTGTGCATGTTCGGGCTGGTGACCTAGCCGAAGGGATGCGTACTCAACACTGGGCTCTTTGCCTTGGCCAGAGGACAGGACACAATTAGAATGACAGTGGAACAGTCGCCGCTCCTGGAGTGCTCAGAGACTGAAGGAAGGATGTGTCTGACAAGTCCTTGCTTGGCTCATTTCACAGCAGGGCCCACACAAATGACCCAGAAATGGGGAGTTCCTCCAGCAGCAGTGCCATGACCTCCCTGGGTCTCACTCACACCTGGAAGAAACACAAAAATTCCCATCACAACAGTGGGCCTTCTCACATGGAATAGATGGCCTTGTATATTATAAAAGCACCATGTTTGCTATTTGAGCCAGGAACCTAATGCCTCTCCCCATTGCCTAGCTTAGCTCCTTCCACCCTGTACCTATAGACACACAGACAGAGACACACACAGACACACAGGTGTGCACATGCACACATACACACACACACACAGATTCAGGCAGACACACATGTATAACTACATACATACACACATATACACACATGCCTTCCCTCAGATAGAAATCTCTGGAAGGCTGATCAAGAGGGAAATGAGATGACTTTTGCCAGGACAACCTACAATGAGCTCACATACAACCAGGGGGCTGTGTGCCAAGGCTTTTTGGAGGCCTTAGAAGGTTTGGACATATTTAAGAGCTTACATTCCTAGAAAGTTAAAAAATCTATGTCCATTCACCTTGGTCAGCCAAACGCATACACAGGAAAGTTTCTCCATCCCAGGACTATGTTCTGATAATGATGCCAAGAGGAAAAGAGCCAATCAACACTACAGAGAGACTCAGACGTTGCAGAAGGACACCACCAGTCCTAGACCCAGGCATCAATTCCATCATTGTCATGCAGATTTGGATGGAATCCTGTTCCTTTGCATCCTACAGCTTTTTGTCTCTTCTCTTACTTTATAAACTGTTGAAAATGACCTACTCTCAGGCCAACTTAAAAGCCATCGCCTCCAGAGAAATGTTTCTACCAGCTTCTGAGTGAGAAGATTTGGCCCCTCCTCGACTTGCCCTGCACCACACTGCTTAGAGAAGTGGTGCAGCTGCCAGCCGGCATGGTCAGCTACAGCAGGGGTGTCTTCCTGCAAGAATTGGCAGCAGTCTTGCCTCTACTGAATTCTGCACAGTACCTGCCACACAATAAGTCCCCCCAGTGAAAGGTCAGGTGAAGTCCACTGCCAATTCTCCTTCTCCACCAAAGAAAATGTTCACCTCCGTTCTCTGTAAACACAGAAAAATGATCCCTTTCACTCTTTTCTCTGAACTTCACTTTCATCCAGAGAAAGTCAATATAAACCTTGCCATCTATGATGAAAAACATTCTCTAGCCTTCTCAGGAAGTGATTTAACAAGGAATGAAAACAAATGGGAGAGGTGTCAGAAGCCATGTCAATAATGAATGACCTTATTATTCAGTACCCATAAAGAAATTTCTAATATAGTAAGTTTTGAGTTTCCAAAGAACCTGAGTGCCAGCCATTAATTGGTTCCAAATAAATCAAAAGCGTACAGCAAATATCATCTGTATAATCACATGCCTATTAAAAAAGAAATGAAAGATCAAAGAAAGATAATCCATAAATGTACAAAAATTGAATGTTCCTTTGGCCAAAATAAGTAACACCTCTCATTGAAAAGTAACTCCACACAGACATATTAAATCTTATGAATAAATCAAAACATTTTCCATCAGGCTTAGCAAACTTTATGAATCTCCATTTCCTCATCTGTAAAATAAAGAGTTGAGTGATCTCTAAGGCCTCATATGCAACGGTGAAGGCCTCAAATACAGTCACAGTGTCTTACTCATCAATATGTTCTGTACTCCAACACAATGCCTGTCACTTTGCAGACTCTCAATTATTTAAACTGATTTTTTTAAAGATCCTTTAAATTAAAATTTTAATGGCCTGTGATTCAAGGTGTTAGTCACAGTTCAGATGGCTCCATACATATGAAAACAGAGTAACTATCTTGGGCAAGGTGCTCTTTAATTAAGTCTGATTGAAGAAAACCAAACTTCAGAGTAACACAGAATTTTTATTCCTGATGTCAACATGTATTCATTCAGTGCATGTGTTGAACATCAGTTAAGAACGAGGCCTTGAACCTGGCACTGGAAGTATGCTGTTGATATGGCAAATTCCTTGCCCTGAAGGAATTCATGGTCTAGTGGGAAGATGCATAAATAAGTGGGAGCTAGGGTGTAACATGTCTATGATAACCCTCTTAACAGAATGACATAGGTACTTTCCTGGCAGCCATGTTCACATAATATAAGCCCCCAGCCACCAGCTTTGGGCCCAGAACTGGGCATCTTGTGCAAGCTGGTCCATAGTTCTTCCCTGACAACTGAGTACTGGAACATAGGGAGAAAGGATCTAGTATTATGCATGTGGTGGGAACTGTGGCATTTGAATGAGGGGCTTTGGAGGGCAATATTCTGCCTGCTGTGTGTACTGAGTAGCCAAGAAAGCCATTCTGCCAAGAAGTAAAATAAAACTGATCAAGAGAAGGCAGAGATGCAAGACTGGTTCTCCCATAGCATTCCTAGTCTTAGTTTCAGCCGTTCTGGACAGGGCTGCATTGCTACCCTCCCCTCAATCTGAAACATATCAATGTTTACAATAACATTACATTTTTAAAAGTTAAATACTTAAAAAGAAGAAACAAAGAAAAAAATGAACTTAAAAAAAAACTTTAAAAAAAACCTAAACTTTACATTGAGTTGTTTTTTGCACTTTGCAATGCAAAAGTTGTTGGTTAACGCACTGAAGGTGAGCAGAGCCGACTGGCTCAGCTTGGAACAGTAGTTCATCTATAGTCCAATCAGTTATGGCCAAGCAGGTAGAGTCACAAGGTATCAACCGGGCTGTCCACCCTGACTCTGAATGTGGTGAGGGCAGGGAAGGAGTTTTCAGAAAAAGAAAAGTCATTTCAAGTGAGCAGACACCCTCAAAGATAGTAAGTCTTATTTTAGAGTTCATGAGCTACATAACTTTGCAATTCTGCATCTGTAATTAAGAATTTTCCAGTAATAATCCTTCTAGCACCATTCCACCAACTCATTTTCCTGGGATTTTCTATAAACAATGAAAGTAGAGTCATTCCCATCTGCTGCAGTGATGTGAAATGACTTGGGGCATAAGAAAAGACGCACCATTTTGCAAGACTATGAAGAGTGGTTCTTTCACAATATCCAATGAAGCTCCAGGGAATGGGACATTGACTCAGAAAAGACACAGAACAGAAATCTGCAACCAGCTACAAATACCAATATTCCTCAATGGCTGATCTGTGTGAAGGTCTAAAAGCTTCTCAGCCTGAAGATTAATCCATTTTAACAGTGAGCAGAATTTTGTGGACAACAAAAAGTCCACTTCATGGAACAGTTCACTTGTGCCTATCATAAGTAATTCTCTAATTAGAGTCCCATCTCAAGCACGCAGCCATGAAAATTTAAATTAATTCTGAGCAGCCTGAAGCTGACAGCCTTAGCATTCAAAATAAATGCTTCTGGTTGCTGAGGTAATTTATTGATACTATGTTTAGAATCTGCCAACTTTCTTGGGCCCCTTTCAGCTCAGTCTTGTACTCATATCACCCAAAAGGGACTGAAAACTGATTCAGGGGTGAGGGGACCAAAAAAATCTTAGATAACATAACAGTTAGTGCCCTCCTCACAAAAAAGCTCAATCCAACCTGAAAAAAATCTTACTCCTTAGTATTTAATATCTTGTGTTAGAGTTTAAATGAATTAAAATTTTCTCTAGGGTGGAGAGACAGGGAAAATAATGAAAAAGACTGAGAATCATTAAACTAGGTGAAACCAATCATGTGCCCAGAGTCACAGGTCCAGAGTCACAAAAATCCAGAGGCTAAATCCTGAACCTGGAGGGGGTTATAAAAGGTTCCTTGGATTTATCCAGACCTTGCCTCGGTGTCACATTCACCCTGGGCTGTCTTGTAGTAACTCTCTCTCTCTTGTATTTCTGATGTCTTCCTATTCTGATCTTTGCTAAGTTCCAAATTCCTTAACCTTCATTCGAATCTTCCTACCTGCTGGACTGGATTCCTTTTTATGTTTAGAAAATGTGCACATTTTAAAAGCAAACTAATGTTGATTAAATATCTACTATTCATTCATTCAACAGATGTTCGTTGAGTGTCTATCATGTGCTGGACCTTGAACCAAACAATGTTCCTACAAAGCCTCATGAAGCCTGTGTTCTGATGACAGCAAATTAGTGACCATAAAATACTATCAAGGCAGATGGTGAGTAGTACTATGAAGAGAATTAGGGTCGTGTCAGAGGCTAGTGAATGACAGAGGTCTGAGGGGATTCGGAAAGTCCCCTCCAAGAAGAGATGAGAATAAAGTGAGATAGTGAGGTGAGAGGACATCTAAGGGGAGGCTGTTTGGGGCTGGGGGACAGCGAGTGCCCAGACCTGAGGGCAGAGCCTGTGTGGCTGCCAGGAGGGACTCAGGATGGGTGTGCCCAGGAGAGGGAGTAAGGGGAAATGTCCCCACTGAGCGGATCCTTCCCCACTGTCGCATTCTCTCCTCCCATCCTCACAAGCACATTATAAGACATGGGCACCTGACCCCATTTTACTGACATCGGCTAATGGCTAATGTTTTCTGACCGTGACCTTGTGTCAGACACTGTCGTAAATGAGCACTTTCCATGCATTACCTTATTTAACTGCCACAATACTGAGATACTGCTAGAATTCCCTTTTTAAAGTCAGATAAATAACAGAATCAGAGAAGATACTTTTTGGCCAGGGTCTCACGGTAAACAACAGAGCCAGGGCTAGAACCCAGGCCCACTGGACTTGGCCATGTTCCTCTCTACATCAGCATGCAGCCTGCCTGCTTCTGAAGGTCTCACCCTTCTGAACTCACACCTGACTTACCCAGGCTGGCACCCTACCTGGTAATCCGTACTCTACTGCCACCAATGTTTCTAAACATCAAGAGGAATGCAGTCCAAAATTATTTTATCCTCATAGGACAAAAAAAATAAATAGGTAGCTTGTGTCAGGTGCTGGTGGCTGTTTAGCTGATACCCATTTTTTATCTTTCTGGGCATGGGGCTGCCTTCCATCTAAGCCAGCCTCTGTTGTAGGCACAGATATTGTACAGCCTAGTTGAGGCCAATGAGATGAAAGTGGAAACTGTTGGGTGGGGTTACACCAGCATTCCTT